ACGAGTGGAGCTCATATACACGTACTCATATACATATACGTAGCGGTAAAAGTGTTCACCGAAACGGCCGAGAAAAAATAATGCACCGAAAATTGTTTCGGTGAACACTCTTGACCGCTACTGTACATCAGCTGCATTTCCGTTTGTCTTGTTTTTTTTTACATTTGCATTCTATTTCAAACTGATTTTTCTTGATTTCTGGGGTAGTAAGAGAGAACTTGGACGGAAAATTTCTCAAAACCCCCAAAAACCAGCTGTGCTGACAGGACAGGACTTAAAGGCATGGGTCGCGAGGATTCTAAAAAAACTCTCTCTTTGAGTGAGGTAGCAAGGCTCCTAGGGGGAGGGGGGTCGTGGTGTGACTGTCACCACTTGAAAGTGCGCGAAAAGGTAACTCATGCCTTTGCTTGACCGTTTCTGTCCTTATCAATCTCAGCATACGTGGCGTTTCTGCGCCCTCTCGCGTACGAAGAAGCTCTCACGTTTTTTTTTTGTCTCGCAGCGCTGCGTCTCTGCGTCGTATTACGGACATCTTCACAAAAATTCAGTGTTTTCTACTGCGCTTTTTGCTCCTCTGCTAATGTTCCTCTTTGCACTTGCTGCCTTATTTTCGAATAAAATAAACGCCAATTCGACCGCGCCGCGCCTTTAATCAAACTAGTGACGTTCCAATTTTCATCCCACCCTGATCAATGCAAATTCAAATCGTTCTTGCCGCCGATCCGATGGATGTCTTAACAAAGTAATTTTAATTCCACGTACATATGATCTCGTTGAAACACAAAACTGCATGTCCTGCTTTGGAATTTGGCCACGCCTTTCATTCTTTTGATATTTGCTCTTTGCCTTCCCAATAGCCTTTCCGTAATTTTATTGATGCGAAGAGTGCGCGAAGAGTTGAATATCAACCGTTAATTGGGCTTCTCATAGTATTTCCTAAAAATGGTTTTAACAATGTGTATTACAGATTCTTGTCGCCTTGCGTTATCTTCACAATCAAAACATCGTCCACTGCGACTTGAAGCCTGAGAATATCCTCCTCACATCGAACTCCGATTTCCCACAGGTTTGTAAAATTCTTTTTTTTCTTTCCTGGTTTGTCATTGTCGCTTCCCGCAGTGCCGAGAAAGATGATTTTCGGATTTCATCTAACGCTTGTTTTCCTCTAAGTTTTTTCCTTTTACAGGTTTGAAATGTTGCGCGACTTCGGCTTCGCTCGGATCATCTGCGAGAAGTCATTTCGACGGTCGGTGGTTGGCACGCCGGCCTATTTGGCTCCTGAAGTGTTACGGAACAAAGGCTTCAATCGATCTCTGGACATGTGGAGCGTTGGCGTGATAGTTTATGTCAGGTCAGTTGATTAATATTGCTCATTTCATAATCACTAGTATTTTCTTTAGTTACTATAATACAGACGATTACCTCAAAATCGTACGGGTTTCTGCGCTAGTGGTTGTGGCCGCGACATCGCAACTTCAGTGGACGAGTTTCTAGGTCATCATCTTATGCACAGAGAAACTCGTCCACTGGTAAATGTTAAAGGGACGCCAGGCAGGCTGGTCCTTTAAATTCAACTTCAATCAATGTGCGGGTAGTTCTAATTCCAGCCAACCTTTTTTCTTTCTGCGTTTTTCAATATTGCGATAATGAAGTTCGAAAACAAACTGTCCGCGCTATTTTTTATGAAAAAGCCAGAGCAAGTAAGTTGGAATTCGATATCCGCGCCCTCAGAGATTATTGTGGAAATTCATTGCTCTAACCGCTAAATTCAACAAAAAAAAACCCGCGCCCGTCACAAAATTGCCGCGTAGCGACGCTGCGGAAGTGGCTGCGCGCGGTGGCGTGACGAAGGACGATTCTGTTGACCGCTCATCGCCCCTACAGTCCATCTCAGCTGCTCGATTTGATAAGTGTGTAGCAACTTTTGTTCGAATTGAAGACGTTTCACATTTGGTTAATGAATTAGAAAGAACCGTATCACTCTTTGAATGTGGCTTTCATTTTCAGCCTTTCCGGAACGTTTCCCTTCAATGAAGATGAGGACATCCATGATCAAATTCAAAACGCTGAATTCATGTATCCACCAAATCCATGGAAGGACATCGGCGATTCAGGTGTGTCGCAATCGTTTATCACTTTTTATCTGAACGCTAGCAATTGAATGCACCTGTGGATATTGCGTCATCACTTTGCTATCTCTGCAAAAGTCCGCATCCGGAGTTCTGTAACACCAGAAAATGTTTCTGCAGTGAATGGGTCACATTCGGCACAGGTGGAGTGGGGTCGAAATGTACGATGGATGCCTTATTACCGTAAGGACCATCAGTAACCAATATGGGTAGTTTTTTTTAATCGAAAACTGTGAAATCGAAAAAGTGTGACGTTTGAGCTTTTTGCCGTTCAGAGAGCTGTTTCTGAAAAAATGATGAAACTGGAGTTCGGGGGGGGGGGACAAAGGGGGAAGGGACCACTCCAACTGCGCTCTCCATTTCTATGGATAAGGAAAACCGCCTAGGATATGAGTGGGATGTGCGGGACATGCAAGACAAGAACCGGTCCTTATCAAAAGTACACTCAATGTGGGCTGCTTGCCTACTATTTTGTCACTAGTGTTAATTGCGCAAGAGAAGCAGCCCTATGGATAAGTTACCATGGAGTGCTCCCTCCCCCAAACTCCTTTCTTCACTGGGAAAAAACCGTAGGTCTTTTTTCTGTGCATGTGCCCCGATCATGCAAAAAGGCGTTTTGAGAAATGGGCAGCTGAAAGGATGCAGCTTGAAGGAAGTGAAGAAGTAAGGAAGAATGAATGAGCATTAGGCGAGGGAGGCTGCGTTAATATATAGGGCGTCACGAGCAGCCTGTGCGATAAAACGACCACAGGGGCTCACGCCTGCATTATCCCGGTATTGGGCCCTAACTTAATAAGTGTCTGGTCTTCGTGGAAGGCATTCTGCTATATGTATGTTGCTCATTTTCAGCTATCGAGTTCATAAATGGATTGCTGCAAGTGAAAATGAATAAACGATTCACGGTGTCCAAAGCGCTGTCACATATATGGATGCAGGTGAGGGCACTATTTCTAGCTTTCTCGAATAATTCATGTACTTTAATTTTCCCAGATATTCCATAGAAAAAAAAAAAAAAAAAACAAAAAAAGAATTGAGCTCACTCCACTTTATGACTGAGGGGTTACCTTTAGAGGGAATTTTCGTTGTTTTTGGATGAGTTTTCTCGAACCTCGACCTTCGATACAGTTATTCTACATCAGGCAGTGTGAGAGCAGGCGGGCTCCTCGGCGAGGGAGGGGCGGTACAGGCGTACGGGTAGTGCGAAGGCCATATTCTGATTTCGTGACCTATTCGATAATTGGATTCACATTATGAAAACTATCTTGTATTCTGAAGTGGAGGCGCAATGGGAAGGGGAACTTTCGATTTTTGATGAATTCGAGGCTTAAAAATACGAAACAATGTGAGTTTCTCAAAGACATGATACAAGTTTGTTATAAAGAATTGACTTTTTGATAAGGCGTGATAGGTTTGGGACGGTTTTGTAAAAATAAATTTCATTCACTTATAATTCACAAGTTTTGTCATAATTTTGTGAAAATAAAAAGGTTTTAGGGCTACGATTTGTGGTCGGACCTTCGTTTGTTGGAAAAAGCCGTTGGAGAACGTTTTCTGACCCATGAAAGCGATGACGCACGATGGAAAGAGTTCGAGAGGAGTCATAACCTCACACCGGTATACGTGTGAAAGAACCCTTCTCGTCAGGTCCCTCGTTTCATTCCGTTCTTGTCATCATCTCTTCATCACCCCCTGTTGGGGACTATGCTGGTCTCAAACAGCACATCTGTGATCTGTTCCAAAAATATTAAGCTCTGATGACAGAATTCCAGTTTTATCATGACGCTCTGCGTCAGTGTTGTATTTACGATCACCATGTTCACTTTCTCGATTTTATGAAATCTTTCGTGAATTTAGTCATTGTATAGTTGATTTTTGTCAGTCTACGCTATTCTTTCGTGTTACATGAGATCATGCTAGAGCGAGATTTATTAGGGTAGTAGAGGTACACTTTCACATATCTTTATGAAGGGTCCAGGCCTTCTGAAATCTTCTCTGCGCGTTATTTTTTCTTTTACTGATCTCTCCAATTAAAGGTTGTTCAGCCACGATGCTATATGTAATGAATATCGCTAGAAATCCTTTCCCCGGGTTCTCGTTGGACTCCGATTTAGCAGGCTTTCGGGACGCGATGAACTTTCGACACCCTTTCTCAAAGTTACATATTACTATCATAGGAAAGGTGGGAGCGCTGAGGTGCACCTTTTGACAGGCTGCAGTGCACCTTTGGGTTTCGTAAGCCTTTCGATCGCACTAACCGTTTACCCAGGAGATTCCAGCTCGGAACGTTCTTCGACTGTATAGTACTGGCTGAACGCCAGGGTGTTGTGAAGTTCAAGCCGAATAATAAGGCGCTTCGTGTTTTAGCAGTTACTTCCTGAAGAACCTGCATTGAGCATAAATCATATCAAAGGCCGTACATGTGGTCAATTATCTGTCCATTCTTAGCTTCTTTTCACGATCCAAACCAGACCTGAAACGGCTAATTGTCACGGCTGCGTGTATGTTCACATATTCACTCCCCGTGGAACTACTCATTTTCCTCCTCTGGCTTAGAGTCCATCACACTTCGCCTTTTCACTATGAGAATAATGATTCCGAGTAGTTCTTTCTACTGTGGTGAATGATGTGTTGGCAACGTGCCCGTAATAGGTAGCTCTCCCTCTGTCATTCAAATATATGTATGTGCGTTTCCTATTTGATTTGAGATATATTGTTGTTATGTGCAGATTCGTGTGTTTTGCATGTTGAATAATGAAATGTACGAAATCAGTGACCTTTGTGGATTATTACTTGGAATTATTGGCAGTAGCATGGGAGCGGGTAAGCGTCGAAGGCAGGGGGGTGCGATAAGTTGGATGTTGTACAAGAGGAAATGTGCTCATTATAAAGGAAGGCTGTGCTTCTGATGAATCAAGAAGTGGCGCTCCCGCTACGAAGGAGCGTCCGTAGCAAAATGAAAAGGTTCAATCTTTCCTTAGATGGCTCTTGCTCGCTCCGATTCGCACTCCAGCTGCTTTTTGGCCATAGCTATTAAACTCGAGCTTAGCAAGGGCAGGGCAGAACGTTCGAGGTGCATGGCCGCGGTGTGGACCCGCTACAGGTGACGTTCCTTTGGGATAACTTGTTTGAGTTATACAAACACTCGAGAGAGTGTGTATCTGATTCCCCGCAACAGTCGATGAGATTATATTGTCTTGACACAAGACACTGCGTTCTTTAGTTGTCGTAACTACTCTCCGAAACTCCAGAAGTGTCCCGTAGCGAGGAAACTTTCAGTTTTAGGGAGTAGTCATGAGGGAGGGGCATACGCCTTCTCAAATTTCGTAGCTTCGAAAAATTCTCTCAATGTCTTAAAAAATGTCCACTCCCCAAACATCCGATGCTTTCCATGTCCTTCCAATTCGACGTTTTTTCTTAATACGACCTGACGAAGTACGACCCATGGGAAAATCCCAACGGACGGTAGTGTTTGTCCAATGCGAAAATCAACAGGGGACATATCACTACGCTTACATCCCTACATTCATTGCCGTCTGTAACCCGATCAGTCACATCACCCTCCTTTGAACGGGCCCTACTTATGAGTGTCCCAGAAGTTTTGGGAAAATTCAGTCGGATTATTCAACACAAAATTACTACAACAAAAACGTGAGATCAATAATCAAGATAGTGGCCCTCTTTAGCCACGACGTCCCTCCATCGACTGGGCAGAGCACTGATGCCTTCTTCCAGAAGGAAGAGGGGCGTGACGCGATCCATTCATCTACTGCATGCTTGACCTCCTGACGGTTGTTGAATTTTTCCCTTTGGTGTAGGCCTGCAGGCTTCTGAAAGCATGGTAGTCACAAGGGCTAAGATCAGGTGAATATGGAGGGTGGGGTAGCCAGGTGATCCCAAGTCTTTCCAGCTCCTCCGTCGTCGTCCTCGCATGGTGTGGTCGAGCATTGTCCATCACAATTAGAAACTTCCCTTGTAGTCGGTGTGAACTGGGGGCTCGGGACACCATCTCTCGCAGTTGTTCACAGAATACTCTTGCCGTCACCGCAGTACCCTCGGGTAGATCTCGTAGTATATGCAGCCGGTGGAGCAGAAGAAGAATGATATCATCTCCTTTTTGGCGTGGGCACCTCGCTTTGGAACGGGTTGGGCTTCACGTCCACTGGTAGCCATTGCAATTTCCTGTGTGGATTTTCATAGATATCCACTTTTCATCCTGAGCGATAATGAAGTCCGTCCAGGTCGTCGTTCGTTTACGGTTGAGAAGTTTCTGGCAGACATCGACTCGCACTCGACGCTCGTGTTCAGTAAGGGAGTGGGGGATAACTCCAGGGAGCGCTGCACGAAGGCGACTTCGGCGCAGAATCCTGTGGATAGTGGAGAAGTAGCAGTCGTCCTTTCCATTTCCCTCAGGCTTTGAGA